AATTTCTCTTATTGAGAGTCTTCTTTAAGGTTCTTTTTGTCGATGACAGTTACAAATCTTGTTCTACCAATGTCACCAGTAGTAAAATGTGCCGTTGATAACGAATCTATTATTATTATTAATTTGAAAATTCCCATTTAAAGAAAGTGATTGATTTTAGCACAAAAATTCCACTTATTACTTTTGAAAAGTGAATTTGAGGCCCACTTATTAGGTCATTGGGTCGATTGATTAGTCTCTTATCATTTCCTTTGAGGGTAAATGTCTTTATTCCATTGGGTATGATCAAGATCAGCGTGTTCCTAGGGTAACCTGTGGGGGTTATATCCTCTAATCATGTGGCTTAAATTAGTATAAATTTTAAACCTCAAACCCTCGATGTCAAATTTCAAAGAGTCAGGTACTAATTAGAATTTTCATTAGCAGACGACAAATATCGGTGCTTTCTTATTTCTTTCAAGTAATGATTAATTTAATGCAATAGAACAGTTAAATTAGAAGGAACGCTACATTTAGGAAGTTTTTAAACAAATTTTTTTACTGGTTGCTAATTGCCTTAATGATTTTCGTTTTACTTTTTGTTGCTATCAATGAGGTAAAATTCGAGCTTTTAAGAGTTTCCCAGTTTTTTTAAGCCACTCCCAAAATGACACATTACTAATTACCGTTGTTCAGCCTACTTTCAACTTCTCAAATGAATTAATAATACACTTAAACTTATCTCGTGAAATCACGAATAACTATTAATAATCACAATTGCATTATAATTTATCCATTTTCTAAACAACTTGGCCGCCCCGCTGCGCAACACCTTTACAGTCGCTTACTTTACAAAGCAATCGAATGTGGATCTAATAAATCTTTATTTTTCTTCCTTTTTTCAGGTCTATCATGCCATTAGTAATCAGGGGAATTTCAACTTCAACTACCTCTGTTTTCTAGTCTGCGCGGCTGTCGTTGCAGACATCGCCTTGGTCACCAATTCCGCGGCCTGTGTCTTCGCTAGTATGCTTCTCTCCCCAGTTATGGTGAGTTGGCAATATTAGGAATTTGTATTATTACCAAAAAATCTCTCTGGTTTTTTTGTCGCTGTATGCATTAGGCAATTGTGTTAGGGGTTCGTAATTTAAGTCGACAGTGCCTCATTGGCTTGGCTCATTGAATGACGCATTAAGTTAACAATCTCTGGAATAGCGGTCATGGTCACACTATGGCTTTTGATGTAAATCGATGAATTTTATAACCAACCTCTGCCGTAAATTAACTCAATGCTGGTTTCAACTTAGGGACGCATGTGTACTCCTTTACTCTGGAATGGGACTTGCCACATTTCCAATTCTGCAGATCACCAGTAATGTATAAGATAGGCTACCAATTGTCAAATCCGAAATCGGATTCAGGGAGATGTGTTTCTAGATGGAAGAGGCTACAGTTGACTTATTGACCTGGATCATGATTGATAATGTCCACTAGTTCCATTAACCGGCAGTTGACTTCTGACTTCATACTACCAACCCCCCCCCCTGTATGTCATTTTCGACCCCTTCCACAGTACCCATCTTACATTTTCTCTGCCGTTGTGTCAGTCTATCTCTTTTATATCTGTAAATCATTATCCTGTCCCCCTCTCTCGACTTTTTGTCACTTTGATGCTCCTCCTCCTCTCTGTGAAGCCCGAAGTCAGCCAAAGGGCTAATGATAACTATCAAAACGCCTGCCATTTGAAATAAATAAATAAAGGAAATGCCTGAGAGATTCTGTCTATCCTTGAATGAGTGAATAAACTTAAACCTGCGACGGTCGAATTTCATGGTTCAGAGTTTACTCAAAATTTGAGGACACTACGTAATAAACTGGATGAGAGGCCATGAACTGAGTAGACCGAAATCAACAAAATCATGAATTCCGTTTTATTAACGGCAGTAATTAGCTTTTTAGTTCAGTGAATCAATTCCCGTTCTCAGAGATAAGAGTTGCTTTACATGAAAGCGAAAATAACACACGAACTTCCCACATCGATTTGGTAGCTATTTGAAACGCGGAATAAGAGTACTATAAATCTCATGCATTTCCAAGGAAAAGTAGCAATCTACACACGATAACGAAAAGTGTAATTTATTGCAAAAATTATTAGTGAAATTAAAAGTAAACTTGAACTAAAAACGTTTGTTCAAATAAAAATGTACATACTAAATAAGCGCTTAATTAACTGTGTTATTTTTCGGCAACCGCATGCTTTAGTCTTCTTGCATCAATTAAGTCGATCGATAATTCATCAATCTTTTGTAGACCGAAGAGATCGCCCAAATTTAATCACAAATAAACCAGTAAACTGCACTGAGCTGATCTTTTTTGGGCTTCGACGAAAAATAATTGACGAAACTGATTCGATTTGAACAAAATTATAATGAAAGGCCAATTCAGTGGATTTTAAAGTTGTGAAGGCTAAATTATAAATCATACTAATCACCTTTATTCTGTAAACAAACAAGGCGAATTCAACTTTACAGCACTAGAGAATTGAAGGCTGATGTTCACGCCAACTGAGCACCTATAGATCTACCTAAGTTAGAGATAAAAGTGCACGATTCACGATTTATGGGGCAAAAATTCACACTATTCACATAACAAAAGTGAACTTTATTTTGACCATGTAAAAAGCTTATTTGACAGAGCATTATGGAAGAAATGCCTAAAATCTGTTCAAGCATGTCGAATCAGCTTGTTCAGGGGCTGTTGTGGGTACCCTAAGCGATGGATTCGTTATATTAAAACCAATAGAGAACAGGTAATAAAAGATTTAAAGTTTGTTCACTAAATGTTACAAAAGATCGTAAATTGATTAAACCAAGAAGGAAAAAGAAAAGTTACCAAGGCGTGATATGAAAACACTATTAGTCTCTAATTGAATTAAAATTTCTTTATATTCCCCCCAAAAATACATTTATATAATGACTTACAAAAAATTTAGAAAAAATTAAGCGTCGACACATAATGACAGCATTATGGAAGGCAATCATTCTAGAACTGCGTAGATAAGAGCGATAGACTATGCGCATTTTTAGCAATAAATGTGTTAATTGCGGATAATTCCAATTAACTTCAATTTGTGCGAGAATCCAATGAAAAAGATTAATTCGCATAAAGAAAAATAGATCCATTGTGTTGTCATTTAATGAATTAACTGCCCGATGGCGTAGTAGTGAAAAGAATATCTGAATAATTAATGCTTAACTAAGGAGAAAATACGATAAAGAATGAGCTAAACAATAAGATACAGCGACATCGTCAAGTAGCCATTTCATTAATGGAAATCGATTTCAAAAAATACAAAGCCGCATTAATATATACTAGACCGATTCTCGAGGTTGGAAATATATAAACGTTACAATGATCGAATCCATATTACATTTAAATGGCTGGTGCAACAATCTACCTTCATAAAGATAATTTCCATAAAGTTGAAAGCATAATTAAAGAGAATAAATCTACAAATAAATACATTCAAAAAATCACCTGAAATTTAATTGAATAATATGTACTACATTAATGAGATCAGACATGCAGTTAACGGAGTTATGAACGAAAGCGTGAACAATTAAATAGCTACATTGAAACATAGAAAAAGAAGGAATGGAACACAAAGAAATTACACAAAAAAGAGTCGATCATTTGGTATAGTGATAGAAAAAGAAT